TTGCAGCAGTCAACTCGGAACCCAGGCTGGTATTCACTAGAGTAGCTTTGTTGGTGCTTCTGAATAAGATGAAAGTAGTGTCAGTCATAACTGAGCCCAGTTGCGCTGGTGCTGTTCAAGCCCCTGAGATAGAAGGTCTCTGGTATGGTTACAGAGACTTTGCTGTGCAGTTTCTTTGAGATGTTAATAGAATCTTTCCATTAGATGTTTTTCTCTCATCTTGCATCTCACTTGCTTTGTGTGTTTGGGACTAGCCTATATTTGGGAAACCAGAGTGTGCTTCCACGGCTCCTCACTCCAAGAGTCTTCCGGTAATGGAGAGAAGAGAGTCTACTGCTGAGTCGCCAGCATTTGGTCTTCTCTGTGGTGGCACTGGTTTCTCGAGTACTGGTTTAGCTCAGTTGTGCTTGACTCTTTGTATTTTATTCTCTTCTGCCAAATGAACTTACCCATGCACACTACCTCAGCTGACTTATGCAGATAATGTAGATTTGGCAGAGAAATACACCCATATTTTAGGATATGACTGATTTAACTTCCTTTCAGTGTTTCACAGTACTGAAGGAGCTCTTGAGCTACTATTAAAAGCCTTACTACAAAGGCACAAACTTCAGACTTACCTTTTTTTGCAGTTCTGATAATTGCTGAGGTCAAATGAGTCAGTCGTTAAGCATTTTAAAGAATATAAGGTTCAAGATCCTTTTTATTAAAGAAATCTGTAAAACCCAACTTGTAAAGCATATGCAATGCAAACTTATAGTAAGAAACCAGACAACTTCATGCACATTGTGAAATAAAGTTATGCAGAAATACAGTAACTCCCACGCTCAAAAAAGCCTTCCCTCCCCCTCCTTTTGACCATGGAAAACATCATGATTCCTTACTTTTGAAGATGCTTTACTTTTCATTAATATTCAGAAACTTAATTTTGCTTAGTTCTACTTATTAATTTTGTTTTGTATTGCTGTTGGCATAAAAAGGATTTGATGTTTAAGTGAAAAGGGCATTGCCTAGGATGTCCCGAGTAATTGTGCTTTTGACTAGAGACAATGGGGATACAGTCAAGTAAGGAGATCAGGTCTTCCCTGAAGTCACAGGATATACTGTAATTATGATTTGTGAAGCACCCGCAGTCATGGTCCTTGGGACAGAGAACGATGATTTCATAAATAATAAAAGCACAATGAGAAATATATGACTGTCCTTGCAGTACCTGCCGCCGGAAAGCAAAAAAGGAAAGAAGCTTCTAAAACCAAGGGGGAAATGGCCTAAATTTGGAAATATCTCAGATTTTAATTTCTTAGATTTGTTTTCCTTGGTTAGAAGAAAACACTGATATGTGTGGGGAAAAGGAGGTTGCATGCTGAAGGTTGTCTGAGTGTATAATTGTTTACAGAGGAGTGGTATTCAAATAAAAACCTGCCAACTCAAGTCTTGAAGAACTTGGCAGGAAGAGCCAGAGTCTTCACCATACAGAACTTCAAAGACCGTTTGGAGCAATACAATACCAATTAGAAATTTTATAAACAGCTGGTGAAAATAATGAATAATCTTTTCAGTGTAGCTTATAATCCTGCCGTGGAAGCACTCTGGTTAATTTTAAGTTGTAACCAGTAGTTATTCCCAACTGGGGAAAAAAAATCCGGTAATGTCTTTTATCTCCTGCTGTGGCCCAGGTACATAGTTCTGTTATGAACACGTAATGGATTCATTAATGGGGCAGCCTGTGGATCTATTACAATAATTTTTATACTAAATGAAGCACAGGCTTTTCCTGTACAGGATGTAATAAAACCAGCAAGAGATCAAATCAGGTATGTTAATGTCTTCAGAGTATCTTCCTGAAATTATCCTTCGCTTGTTTATCGCTTTGGGGTCTTCTTTCAGAAGTTTCTGTCTTCGTTATCGGTACTGCTTTGTGTAATCTAACAAATAAGACCATTTATAGGAGAAAAGGCATGTATAATTTTTAACAATAGATGCTCTTGGAGAAACTAGCTTATCTAAGTAGATCACAGCTGATCAACTTCTAGAGTCCAGCTGTTGTAATGAGAGGGATGACTGGTTTTGCTGCTTTTCATGTACAGGGCCAGTACTGCTGATGTGCCAGCAAAGCAGTTTAGGAGCATACACTATTTTATTTTGGGCAAGATCAGCCAGATGAGCTGACTCCACTGATTAAATTGTTTCACCAACTTGCCTCATTTTGCATGGCATTAAAGAGAGATTTTTACAAAGAACATGTAAAGCCTTGCTACATCCCAAAGTTACAGGAACCAGCAAAAATCAGCAGTTTGGCTGGTGGATTGAAGCCTGTTTGTGGAGATTTCTTGCTGGGAAGAAGTACTTTCTTGTCTCCCTGTCACCTGTCTCTTTCTCACATTTACAGCATTTAATGCCTCAATTCTCCTGCATTTCAGCTGGCCTCATTTGACCCTGTTCTGGTTCAGGGGGTTCTGATGTGGCTGCATGCAGTAGTTTTTGTTGTTTCAGATCCCTAGTTACAGGGATATTTGATATCTGCCTAGTTTTGTACTGAATGATAGTTGATGCTGCCACTAATTTCAGACAGGTCTGTAGATCAAAGATATGCTGGCAGCTACCAGCAACTTCTACATTAGTAGTATCCAGTGATACATGAACTTCACGTGTCATGGACTGGCTTCCAAATCGCTCATTTGTAGTATGTTGTAAGTGAACTAGCGATGCTCGTAACCCTCATCGTATCATCCATAATGGCCAATCAGAGGGTATGGTATCGCAGGCAGGCAGCAGATGCTGCCCTCCCCTGTGCTCAGTGTGACTGTCACTCAGAGCTGGTTAAGTGGCACTCAGTGCTGCTGCTACATGTTCGTGCCTAAATGCTGAGTGGGCATACAAATGACTATGTCAGAAAACACAAGAGATTATGCAGAAAGGTAAGTAGCAGCGCACAGCATATTCCATTTGGCTTGGAGGCAGTTCTCATCTCGCTGTTGAAAGCAGGAGAGAATCTGCAGCCCACTGAAGCATGACTAATCAGTTTGCTAAAATGTTTAGCACTCTCTAGTTTAAAGTATTTCATCCCTATTGTTGACCGCAACAAATGATGATTTGTAGCATTTATGTAAGGTATGTATTGTGTTCAGGTCTTAAGCCCTTTACTTGGGAGCTATATCAAATGTCAGGTTTCCTTGGAGCATGAGTGAAGTGTGCAATTTGTATTTTTGCTGCTGCTGGGGGTGGCACTATGTTAATAATTCTTATTCCAGAAAAGATGCCAGGTGATTAATATATCTTATTTGTGCTTTGAGCTTCAACAGTGGGTTGTTTTTCTTTGTCTTTCTGTTTCAAAGGAATATTTTGAAAAGGTTTATTTGTATTGAATGGGGTAATTCTCCTGCATGACAAGAAGCAAAGAAATAAAAACCCCAGGTAAAACATTACTAATCTAAATATTTTGAAATGGATGAGAACATATTTTATATAGTGTTAGATATGCTATATGGTTCAGGGACACAGATTTTAAAAAGTAAGAATAGTAATGCATGTAAACAATAATTGGCAAAGTTTTAATTATTACAGTAAGAAAGGCTCAGAATAGTTAGGGAGACATGATATTGCATATTGTATGAGACAGATGCCAAGACTTGGTTAATCAATGTTTGCAAAGCACTTGGAGAGTCTCTTAGGTGCAGGAGGATTTGCAGTGTATCTGAAGTGTGTTGACAACAGCCACTATGAACAGTGTCATATAATGTTTCTCTCAAATTTATAATCCTGTTTTTCCTATATATAATGATGCTCTTTTTTTTCTTTGCAGTCATTATTCTTAAAAACAAAACGAAACCACTTCTGCAGCCAGTGGTTATTACTGATGCTATCTGTTTGTTCTGTGCACCCCTGTCTTCTCCTGAAGATGATACTGGACTTTGTTTTCTGTTTTTCCTTTCAGCAGGCTATGTGTTGTGCTATTTTTTAAGGAAGTAACACAGTTTCTAAGTCACAAGTCGGATCACATCAGTTAGAGCTGTTCAGAATCAGGAACATAATGAGGATTTGTTTGTATTTTGCTGGGGGAGCTTTTTTTGTGCAGACTTGTATACAACATACTAGTGCAGTATAGCTCTTTGATCATTAGATGCAGATGTTTCAATTACCCAAACATTGACCAGGTGACCTTGACTTTGTTAGTGCAAGGCCTGATTGTTTCTTCTGTGGATTTTTTTGTTCAGAAGTTCTGGTGGTGATGAAGTTGGGCCAAACTTACTCAGCTGGTCTGTGTTATCCTGTTGCCAGTTAACTCAAAGACCAGCTGAGAACCCTTGTGACAGGTCAGGCTGACATCTGAATGCTGTAAAGGAGGAAAGTACAGCCAGAGTAAGCCACTGAGAGCCTTTGACTTTGAGGTGCAGCAGCAGGTTTTTTTGTTTGAGTGCAGTAGCACTTCTTAGGGACAGTGATGTTCCCAGGAGCATGTACAATGTGAAATTTTAACCCGTCTGCAAGTCTGTAGTGGTCTACTGGTCAGGAACCACACTGGACATGAGGTGAATTTGTTGCAGTAGCAGTTGATATAATAACCTGATGCAGTTTGGCAAGGTCTCATCCTTACAGTGACAGCATGATCGTAATGTCACTAGCCTGTAGTCTCTGTCGGCTGTGCGTTGTCACCTGGCACTTCTGTGTTCCTGATACCTGAACTCATCAAATTGCCATGCTCCCACATGGTAACTTCTGCATGTCCAGGTTCTTATTTATAGTACATGCAGTTTATCTTATTTTCAGAAAGTACAAAACTTAAATTGCTTTGCACATGCCACAGAGTAAGAGCATAGTTTAAAAAACAAAACAAAGACAAACATAATGGAAGTCACTTTTCTTTTTTGCAATGGCTAGAAATGGAATAACAGAGTATACATGGGAATAAAGCTAGGACTGAAGAAGCGGGGTTCAGATGTAGCAGTAATACACCAGTAGAAGAACAGATGTGCTGAGTTTATTCTTTTTCTGGCAGGTCACCTACATCAGACCTCAACATGGCATTGCATGAGTGTATGGCAGCTCTGGATTTATTTCTTAACAACAAGTTCTCAGATGCTTTGGCCTCTTTACAAGCAAAGTAAGTTGATTACTTTTACTATTTTTCCTCTGTTTATTTTTCTTTGCTTCACCATCTCTAAGGAGAATTGACTAGACAGCTAGTTCTCTGTTAATAGTTGATAAGACTGCATGGTTTTGGTTTAGAAGGGGGTGGTAAGTTAATGTGTTAAGTTTTGGGGAAGACAGAAGTGCTAATTCACTTAGGTGAAAAAGTAACAAGATTGATCAAAGGTAACTAAAAAAACAATTGTTGTCCAAAGAAGTAACCCCTCAGTTGTAGTATGTATGTGAGATTCTCGTTCCTGGAAGAATAAAGACCTTCTGTCACGCTTTTTTTTCCCCTTCTTTTCTGTATTTTTCTGCATACCGTGTGAATATGAGAATTTATAGTTTTGTGTCTAAATGAGCAACTGACCATGAATTGCCATGTTTGAGACATGTTTCTTTAGGTATGAATTTTTAAATTTTTTTTAATAACCACTTGCAGAAACTTTCTCACAGCTCATTTTGCAATTCAGTGTTGTGGTCATGCACTCTGTTTCCTAATTACATTGTAGCCCAGGATGTAATCAGTGCCCCAGCTGCAAGCAGTAAGGTCGTAAAATAGCTTCTAAAAACTGTTGTGTCTTTACAATGTCTGTGATTTTTCATACCCTGTCCGGAAGTTACCTGTGCTCTTGGTTTGTTGAGGTCTGTGGTTAATTCACATTTTTTTCTCTCAATTTGCTACATTTATTTTTGAGCCATCAATAAATTACATCATGCCTTCTTTCAGGCCACTGAAATATGAAACAAGTAATATTCATAGGTAATGCAGTAGTGTGTGTTTGATATGCATCAGGGGTAACTATAGGGAATACTGCATATCTGCTTTGCTGAGGTATCAGCCTCAGTCTTTGATGCCAGAATCTCGAAGTAACACTCTGTGAAAGGCATTCATGATAAACTGTAGGCTCAGATGTATTAATAATACTGGTTTTATTCACAGCAGTGTTGTTTTGTGTTTATATGTCATCAGACCATTGTAAAAATGGTAAGAAGAATAAGTGTGTTTTCATTAAATCCTGACAGTAAAGCTCCTGTGCCCATCTGGAAATGCTTATTCAGTGCTTAGCATAAGATAGGGAGATACTTTATTGAAGGGGGTTTCCAAAACACTGCAAAAGCTAGTGACGCTGAGGGTTTGGTTTGGGTTTTTTTCTGTAAATCCACCTTTCTTCTATTGCATATGGTTTTCATTGAGCTTTTGTTGGGCCCTGCAGAACGTATTTCATGAGCCGATACTCTGTTTTTGTACCTGACTCTATTCCACACTGCAAAACAATTTTGAAACTGATTTTTTTTATGATAGCCTGTTGTTACGAGGAGGCCCTTATTCCTGTTGCCTTTGGCAATGAGGGAAATATAGACTCACAATCTTTGTGAGTGTAATGCAGAAACAGGATGCTAAATTTCCCTACGGATGATATCCATTATGGACACATTCTATCTCTTTAGGGAATGACAAGAGCTGTAGAGTGGGCACATGTGGTAGTACTGAGTATTTTCTTTAGGAGTCATCAGTTCCTTACTGTTGTCTTTTAGCATGCTGAGATTTGAAATTGGTTTTCACAGTCCATAAACATACTGTCTTTGTTTAAAGAAATACTTTTCAGTTTTACATGCTTGTAAAGAATTTTCTATCGTAGATATTGCAGCTTTACCACTTATGTTGTAGGACATACTCTGCGCTGTGTTACATTATTGCAGATTCACTAAATTACTCACATTTGGCTTCCACAATAAGTGTATATTTTCAACTGATTTGTACCATGTGTAACTGAGAGCAGATTTGGCAATGTATGAGATTTAAAATCAGAAAATCTTTCCTAGCAGCTTAAAAATAAGTATCTGAGGATGGTGTCTAGACTTGTGTTGAGGTAAAGGTCTTTCTTTTTTTTTTTTTTTTTTTTTTTAACTGTTAGAAAGGCAAATTCACAATGAAGAAGAGATCTCGTTTCATAAAAAAGTTTGTCTGGCATTTTTGCTTCATGCTACATAAATTTTCTTGTTTCCTCAACTACCTTTTAGGTTTTAAAGTCAGTTTTCTTTATTATTAACAATCACCGTACAATAGCAGTCTCCAATTATCTTGTGGTTTCTCCAGTAAATTTGATTGAATTAATCTTTCATATGGACTATTCACACTAAGTCTAAGAACTCTTAAGGAATTCCTTAAAATCAGTTGCCTAACGCAGCAGGGATTTTCAATAAGTTAACTGTGACAATGAGTAACACTGAAACTGTCTAGTCACTGGGGTGGGGAAAAAAAATCTCATCTTCTGTCTCAGCCCCGAGATACATACAGCAAATTGATTAAAGGCTGACTAGATTTTAGCCCTCATGTAATTGCAAACAGATAATAATAAATTAAAGAGCTGTTTCTGGTGAGATGTCCCCTTCCCAAGACAAATGTTTAATATTTTAATAATTACCCTGAAGGAAAGCGTGATATAATCACCTGTTGGTTTTCTGATGTCAAATTACTTGGGCAAATGGTAAATAATAAATTCATGGCACAGAGTAATCTGGATCATTGGATGAGCTGCAACACATCTGTGTTGTTGCTTGCAGTATTATAAGAACAATATGAGAACAATTCATTCCAGGCAATTGACTTTGTTCTGAAAATAGTCTCTGAAAAGCATTTGGTGTTGTGGAATGTTAATTCTAGAATGACTGTGTTTGAATGGTAAGTTTGGTCCTTCGATGTGGGAGTATCTCGGGTAGGTGTGAAGAGATTGTGTTACTGCTCTGCTAGTTACTTGTGAAACGCTTACTGGAATATTGTAGTTCTGTGGTACCTATTTACTATCACTGGAATTTTTAATATAAGCCCACTTTACAATATTGATCATTATCTTGTATATTCTGATCTTTAAAATGTTTAGACAGGTTACTAAGGAATGGCTGGCTTCATGGTGCAATTAAATGTTCTTGCCCTTGTAGAACAAAAGCAAACATGAGGTGGTTCATTGGGGTGGAGGAGCTTTCTTTGGGAACTGATCTAACAAAGATAGTGTGTGATTGTCAAACTGAGAGTGGTGAAAGAGTAAGGGGAAGCACATGGAAGTAAAGTGGAGGTCTAGACAGTTGGAATGCACAGCTCTACAGAAAGCTTGAGTTAGCTATTTATTGTAAAGAATGTCAAGAACATGAAGAAGGTCGTTATTTATAGGGTTGGGGTTTCTTCTCTTTTTATGCCTGGAGTCTGGAAGAACACAACTTTTGTAGTCTTTTAAATAAATACATTGCTGCCAAAACCTGACTTAATTGTTGGTTTCACCTCCTAGCTGGAAGAACTTACTAGATTCCAAATTTTGGAGAATGGCTTAGATCAAAAAGGCTTAGGGGTCCTCTCGTTGAACTGGATCTTTTTGGCTTAGGCCTGCCTTAGACCATTCTGGTGGCCTGTGGTAACTAGGAAACCAGGCTGGTGGCCGATCAGAATGGTCTTTTCTAGTTGTAAACTTAATGCTTGTGGGGAGTGTTCGTAGGAAGCAGGTTTCTGTTGTAAACTGTCGATTCATCAAAACAGAGAGTTTCTATGGAAGCCCATGCAGTGGGTCTGGCAGGTTGTTCAGACATTGGGTGGAACTTCTGATCAAGGAGGAAAGCCTTCAGGCCCCATGGGACCACATTCTCTTGATGCAGTTTCAGTTTGGGCCTTAATCGTTCTCTCTTGGGTACGCCTGGATAAACAGACTGTTGGCTCGTCTGTGGAGGGTCTTTCTCACTCTGTGCTGTTGGATTTGCTTTATTTTTAGAATCATCTTCATACTAAATAAGGGCATGGACCTGAACCTGGGATTTCTGTAACCTTGTGATGCATGTCCTGCCTGCTGGATTACTGTAAAAGGATCCACAGAAAGATTTTGGACACTGTGTTTTTCACAAAAAATACTAGCCCCTGGGTTAATTCTGAGGTCAAACCAAGCCAAGCTTTTTTTGGTTTTCATACTTCAGCTGGAGGGGAGAGTTGTCACTGTCCTCATTTAGGTACTTGTTTTCAAGCAGGAATTAAAGTGTTCTCCAGCAGCTCTCAAGAAAGGGCGGTGCTACAAGATGATAATGATTGCACCATAGTTGGAGAACAGGCATGTGGCAAAACTCCATAAGTGCCTAAAGATATTACTTATAATCCTCTTATTCAGCCATGTGATACTAACTACTGGGATAAGTCATTAATCAGAATATTAGTTGTATTTATGTCATAAAGGCTTGTTAACTCCAACAATGTCCTGGGGAAAGTGCTGCTGAGGAATCAAAGGAAGAAAAAAAAAAAGCTATCAAGTTTCATTCTGTATCCATCCATATAAAAATGCAGGCCTTAAAACTTCTGGCAATATGCCAGGATGTAACTGGCAACTTTAATTGCATGGTTAGCATACATAGCATAGATAGCTCTTACATTTGGTTGCATTTCTAACTGCCTCCCAGCCCCTGAAACAAAAAGGGTAAATTTAACTGTTGATAAATACCGGTTGACTAATGATAAACATAAATTATTATTGCCTTTGAATATTAGAAGCAAAATAGATTAAACCATTGATTAGGGCAGGGGTGATTTGGTATCAAAGCAAATTACTGGAGAGGAAAATTCCTCTTCACCATGTATATGTGAAAAGTATCGATTTTCCTTTTAGTGCAGTGAATTTAATATTTATCTGCTCTGATTTCTAAAATTTTGGAAGGGGACTACTTTAATGCCTTCCCTGTACTTAGAATTTAAACCTTTGGAAGGGTTTTATTTTAATAAATATGAGAGGAAGTGTGTTTCTCTGCACCCACTGGGGCTGATGAGTAATCAAGTGAACAGGAACACTTCATCAAGCTGGCATTTTACACTATGTTAATTTTTTTTTTCTACTTTACATCATCAATCTACTGAAAGAATCATGATATAGGAGGCCAAGACAGATCTGTACTGACTCCACTGGGTTTTAAACTAGTTTCTCTATTATCTGTCTGTTCTTACTGATGTTGGAGATGAGATGCATGTTAGCATAGTCTAGGACTCATAGCACTCATGGCAGTAAGTGATTTCCCAAAATGGCTTTTCTGCCAGGTGGGTTTAGATGTTGGTTCGAGCAGCTTGTTAGATAACCTGTGAATGTGGTGAGGGCAACTAGGAATTAAGAATAGCCAAACCACAAACTGCAGTGGAGTTTAAAGAGGTACACTGCATATTTTTTCAGTACAGCCAGCCTGCTGTGTGCCGTGTGTATTGGAAGAAGTAACCCTTCATCATCAGTATGAAGGTTGGCAAAGGAAGCACCAGGTATCTGTGTGATGCTGTCTGTGACAACGTTAGGTATTGTTTTAATCCCTAGATCTCAAAAAATATATATACAAAGAAAGCCAGGATTGTATCATCACTTGAATTTTTCTTTGGTGATTTTATTGCATAATGTCATTGAGAGGGGGTTACTTTAGATGTAGACAAGGTTATTATTTTGGCTGTGGAAAACACTAACCAAACATCAGGGACTCCTGAGGATACTTAAGGGTGTTTTACTCCATCAAGCAAAAGAACTAATGCATAATAAGGTATGAGCTGTTAGAAAACTTAAAGGGATCGAAGTCACCACAGTGAGTTATTAGATCATTGATCAATGTAGGATTGTCTTAAATTATCCTTAAAATTATCTTTCAATTCAATCCAGGTATCAAAACCTGAGGAGGCAAGTGTATTTCCAGGGGAGAAATTAAATGGGTTGAGGGGTCTTTAAAGTTTGGCTTCTCCCTTTGAAACAGAACCACTGAATCGGAGTGGTTGAGGTTAGAAGGGACCTCTGGAGGTCATGTGCTCAAGCAGGGGCATCTAGACACGATTGCCCAGGACTGTGTCCAGATGCTTTTGATAATCTCCAAGGATACAGACTCTGCAGTCCCTCTGGACAACCTGTGCCAGTGTTTGGTCACTCTGATAGTAAAGAAGTATTTCCTGATGTTCAGACAGATCCTCCTGTGTTTCAGTTTGTGCCCCTTGCCTCAAGTCCTATCACTGGGCACCAGTGAAAAGAGCCTGGCTCCATCCTCCTTCATCCTCCCTTCAGGTTTTTCTATACGCTATAGGAACCCCCTGAGCTTTCTCTTCTTCAGGCAGAACAGTCCCAGCCTTCCCTCACAGGAGAGATATTCCAGTCACTTAATCATCCTCATCGCCCTTCATTGGACGTTCTCGAGTATGTCCATGTACTGAGGAGCCCAGAACTGGACACCGTACTCCAGGTGTGGCCTCACCAGGGCTGAGTAGAGGGGAAGGATCACCTTCTTCAACCTGCTGGCAGCCCATTGGCCCTGTTTGTGGCATGGGCATTTTAGTGGCACAGCACTTTCTCCTTGAAAGAAAAAGAAAAGTAGCAGCTCATTTTAAGAAATGAACACCCTCAGTACATGTATTGAGAATAAGTATACTGAGGGTGGAGATTTTGTTGAAGGGTTATCCTTGTTTGACTGCAAGTATTTTTGAATATTGCCTGCCATATAGAACTATCTGATCCATTCTAAAAGCGTAAACAGTTGAATTAGCAATTGTTGCTCTTTTGCAGTATTTGCTTAAGTCGTGTTATTTGTCAGGGTGGATTAGCAAGGACTACATAGAGTCTCTGTGGCAGGAATTCATCTGAGCTTGCCCTTCAACGTATTTCCCAAGTTGTCTTTATTGGACCTTTATGCCTGAAGATATTTTGATTAATTTGCAGAGGATTACACAGTACATAGTTACTGGCTGAATGCTGTAAATGTGTGCAATACATAAACCCTTCTTCCTGCCAGAGGAAAGATGCTGGCAGTGGCTGCATATAGAAGTTGATTGTTTTTCTTGCACTAATGCCAGAGTTTTTTGCTTTCTGCAAAAGAGGCTCCATCTGAAATCCCACAGAATAATATTTAAGGTGAACAGACATGGGTGGAAGGTTGGCAGAAGGGGAGAGGAGGAAGAAGCTGTATTGTTTGACATAGACTGGAATGGTTCAGGTGGGAAGATCTGTTTGAAGAAGATTCTACTCTAACCATGGTTATAGTATTGTGTTATCTCCTTGAGTCTGTCCTGAGTAACTGTCCCAAATTAGAAAAAGAATGTCTGGATTTGTGTCACATGTTTAAAAAACCCCAAACATGATTCAGTCATCCCTGAATCGTTAGCCACGTGGTTAATTCCTGTCCTTTATGTATGTTAAATACCTATCCTCAGCTCAGAATTGGAATATTTTAACACAGTTGCTGAAACTGGAGCTGTGGACGTGATTTCCTATACAAATCTCAAGCTATTAGTGTTTCTTGATTATTTTGTACATCCTTTGTGTTTGATCTCTAGTTCATTTAGACCTGGTTCCCATGAGGCTGATATATTTCTGGAATTGTGTTTGTATTTGTTTTTTAAAAGTAATAATATAATCAAATCAGCTGTGCTTTGCATCTTGTGTTTTTTTTTCAGAACTAAAGATAGTATGTATCATGCGCTGACTTATGCCACCATATTGGAAATGCAAGCTATGATGACATTTGATCCTCAGGACATACTGAACGCAGGAAACACAATGAAGGAAGCTCAAGCCACCTGTCAAAAGTGAGTATGGAGCAGTTCAATCAATAAGTAGTCACTTCATGGGAAAGTTTTGAAAGACATACAGGTTAAAAAAGGACGTGGAATTTAATAGAGATCGTAGGAAAACTGAGGTTGGAAGGGACATCAGGAGGTCATCCAGTCCAGCCTCCTGCTCAAAGGAGGGTCGGTTGTGAGGTCACACCACATAACTTAGGGTTTTCAGCAGTCTAGTCTTGAAAACTTCGGTTTACTGCAGTATCTGATGTTACTTGTCAATTGGATTTTTGTCCTATCTGTAGCCCCAGTTCTGCAATGTCTGGAAGTTATTTACTGTTTACAGACACTGCAGAATCTTCCTGTTTGGTGGTGGTTGCACTGTAGCTAGCTGTCTTTGAGTCAACTGTACTCCCACTCCTGTACACACATGTGCACATGCACACACTCACAAAATAAATCAAAAAGCCCTGTTATCCCCTTCATCAAGACAGATTTCCACATGTGAAGGGTAAAAGATGGATCCCAGGAGAACTACGTTAACTAACTTCTGTATGGAATATGCGGAAGTTTGTGTATGTGGTAAGATGACAGAGTGTTGGTCAGCACTAGAGGTGTGCTAGTGACTGTATGTGTGGCCAGCTGAAAGATACTGTTCTCTGTTGTTGATGCTTCATGTTCAGAATGACCAAACTTGACTTTCCTGCAGATTTAGGAAGAAATCTACAGTAGCTGATTCTATCAACAACCTTGTGCATAGACAAAGCCTTGAACACTTTACTGAAGGTAACATTATCTTTAAATGCATCATGTTTTCATCTTTTTTTTTTTTGCTGTAGTTAGAATTGTGTAGAATTGTTCACCCAACGTGTTTTTGCAGATTTTGAGTTCACTGACAAAATCACTGATTTGGCATTTCTAAAATTGCTGGATCAGTGTTTTGGCAATTGCTGTTTCACCACATCCAAAATCACTAACTGTTTTGTTGATTTCCAAAAATTGCTGGGGAAAGAAATACGAAGAAAGAAGTATTGAAATGCCTAGAAAGGTCCTAGATCCAGGAATTCCTGGAAAGCACGATAGAAATTTCTGCAGAGTTTCTGTAACTGTGTGTCATTTCTGTTTGGAGTTACTTTAGTAGTCTAGAGCTGAAACACTACAGCAAATTTGGAAAAGGTTTTTCTCAGTTTGAGCTTTGTGATCTTATTCCTGTATTAATGGGCTAAGTGTGTTTTAATTACTTTTTGTCTGATTGATTTGTTTCCCCCCCGCCCCCTCCCGCTGTGTGATACTAGAGGAAATCCATGCAGAAATTTGCTATGCTGAATGTTTACTTCAGAGAGCAGCACTCACATTCCTCCAGGTATGGATTCCTGTGTGGCTTTTTGGGGGAAAAAAAAAGTACACACCATACAGATTTCTTTTCTTAAAATTACTGAAATAGTAGTAAACCCTAGTTTGACCTAATGGTGTAAGACTTTTTCATCTGGATTAAATCTGGATTTTATCTGGACTGGAGTATCTGCTGATGAGATAGTAGACTGTTTTGTTATCCCCCATGATTATCTAAAAATGCTTATCTTGATGCACATAGCAGTGAGTCCACTGTGATGCCCTTCTCCAGTCCCTTTTGGGTGTGTGAAATGTAACCGCAGTAAGCACTGATGTTCAAATACTGTGCTGGGATATCAGATTTTTTTTTAAAAAAAAAAGAGAGAGAGAGAGAGATGGTCATTGAAGCTGTGCTATGCTGGAATGCAAGTGAGGTTTTTGTTTCAGTCAGGCTGGTGTTTGCTTTCCTCACTTACTTGTTCTTGAACAGCTATTATGGTCCTCATATCTATTAGGCTCCACACATGCTTTTTGCTAAACAGTGCTGCCTGTCTTTAAAAGGGGAGCTCTCCCTCTTCTTTGAATTTTGTCTGTCTTGTACTAATGAAGCTTGATTTGTTTGATGGATCAGCATTAGCAATACTTACCAGGACTCCAGCTTGCAATTTAAATTGTTAATCATAGTCGGAATAGCTGATTTTTCTTCTTGATTTGGCTGTACTTGCTATATGACAGTGGGCCTCTTCATCTATGCAGAAAGGATCATAAAAGTCATACTCACAAAGCACTGCTACTTCTTGGCTGGAAGATGCTGATAGAGAATGAAATGCAGGTGGTGATTTTCTAGTGTTTGGGAGTTGCCGGATGGGTTCTGATTTATGTTGCTTGTGGTAGTTTATGAACTGTGTAACCTTTTTCAGCAATCTGCCATGCCCCTCGGCTAGAAACTTGCTTCACAGCAAAATTAGTAGTCAGAGTAGCTTCTTCTGAAGGTTTTTAGAGTGCTGGTGGTGGTGACTTTATGGTAAGATGATGGACTTTGAAATGGCCAAGGTGTAGCTAACTATTTCCATATTCCTTTGGGATCCTTTGGGATGAGTAGCGTCTAACACTGGGGACAGTTTGGGTGATATCTGAAGCTATGGAAGCAAGACTTTTCAGAAGTTCTCCATTATGCCCGTAAGAAAGGAATGTTTTAATGCAATGTCTCTTGCTTTTAAGCACTATTTTCACAGGTATCTGTTTTTAAAAATGTTTATAGATATGAGAGATTTAAGAGTAAGAAAATAATTTCTTGTCCTCTTCTGCATAAAGAATGTGTGTCTATTTACTTCCTCTTCTATTCTGTGTTTAATTTTTCATGAACACATGAACTGGTTTTAAAAATTAAACAAAGGCACTTGGTTCCAGCAGCTATTGAAATGGGTTAGTTTTGATGCTTAATGTAAATGACCAAATCCAATTGAAAACACATAAAAATTAGTGTTAGGATTTTTTAAGGGCTGGACTATTCTCATGTTGGTTGTCTCTGTTGTTGGTATAACGAGTATTCTGAATTTAAACTTGACCTTGTAAAACTTCATGAGGTTGGCCTGGGCCTACCTCTCCAGCCTGTCCAGGTCCCTCTGGATGACATCCTTTCCCTCCAGCGTGTCGACCTCACCACACAACTTGGGGTGGTCAGCAAACTTGCTGAAGGTGCACTCGTCACTGTCCATGCCACCAACAAAGATATTAAATAGCACCAGTCCCAGTACTGATCCCTGAGGAACACCACTTGTTGCTGGTCTCCACTCAGACATCGAGACATTGATCACAACTCTTTGAGTGCAATCTTCCAGCCAATTTCTTATCCACTGAATGGTCCATCCATCAAATCCCATGTCTTTCCAGTCTGGAGACCAGAATGTTGTGCAGGACAGTGTCGAAGGCTTTGTGCAAGTCCATATAGCCAACATTGGTTTCTCTCCCCTTGTCAATTGATGCTGTAACTCCATCATAAAAGGCCACCAGATTCATCAGGCAGGATTTTCCCTTGGTGAAGCCATGTTGGTCGCCTTCAAAAAGCAAAAAAAGGAAGACCTGGGCAACTACAGGCTGGTCAGCCTCACCTCTGTGCCTGGCAAGATCATGGAGCAGATCTTCCTGAAGGGTCTGCTATGGTACATGGAAAATATGGAGCTGATTAGTGACACAATCGTTCTTCACCCTAAGGGTGGTGAGACACTGGAACAGGTTGCCTAAGGAAGTTGTGGATGCTCCATCCCTGGAAGTGTTCAAGACCAGGTTGGATGGAGCCTTGAGCAACCTGGTCTAGTGGGAGGTGTCCCTGCCATGGCAGGGGGGTTGGGACTAGATGATCTTTGAGGTCCCTTCCAACCCAAACCATTCCGTGATTCTAAACATTTTAAAACCATCTTCCTTCCTCTTTCCATTTTCTATTCAAAAGAAAATATAACTGAACCTTTACATATGGTTAGGCATGCTGTACCCCCCCCCCCAGTTGCTAATTAAAACTAGACTTTTCTACAGAACAAAGAAAACCAGGATCCCATTTTTTTGTGTTTATTAATGTTTGCATATAATTTGGATTCAAGTCTCTGGGGACATATCATCAGGAACTATGTGTTCAGTTATGGTGCATAGTTTCTGTCCTCAACTATCTCTCTTGATAACGTTGCTTAAGGATGGCTGTAAAGGACACAGGCTAGTGGTGGTGCAGGCGACAGGAGTAAGCCCCTGCCCTTCGGTTCAGGCCATTAGGCTTCCTATACTAGTTCATAGAAAGTAAAGTCTGGAAAAGTTGAGCTGTAACTTTGATTGAGTTCAGTTATCTTCCTGACTTACAGGAGGATGGAGAGCTCTTTGAGGGAGGTTCTGTCTCTTTGTTTACATATTGATCATAGAATCATTGGGTTGGAATAGACCTCTAAGATCAAGTCCAACTGTTGACCTAATACCAACATGCCCACTAAACCATGTCTGGAAGTGCTACATCAACACATTTTTGTATTGGGATAGTGACTACCACTTCCCTGGGCAGCCTGTTCCAATGTTTGACTACTCTTTCAGCAAAGAAATTTTTCCTAATGTCCAATCTAAACCTCCCCTGGCACAACTTGAGGCCATTTCCTTTTGTCCTATTGCTAGTTCCTTGAGAGAAGAGACCGACCCTCATCTCATTGCCACCTCCTTTCAAGTGGTTGTAGAGAGCAATAAGGTCTCCCCTCACCCTCTTCTCCAGGCTGAACAGCCCCAGTTCTCTCAGCCGCTCCTCATAAGACCTATTCTCCAGACCCTTCACCAGCTTCGTTGCCCTTCTCTGGACACACTCCAGCACCTCCATGTCTTTCTTGTAGTGACGGGCCCAAAACTGCTCACAGAATTCGACATACAGCCTCACCAGTGCTAAGTACAGGGGCACAATCGCCTCCCTGTTCCTGCTGGCCACGCTGTTTATGATACAGGCCAGAATGCTGTTGGCCGTCTTGGCCACCTGGGCACACTGCTGGCTCATGCCCTATTTCCTTAATAACAGTAAAACAACTAAATGTTCATCTAAGCTGTGTTATTTTCTCCACAATGCTTCATACAGCCTCTTAAAATACCATCACAGAAAAATCATCTGTTGAAATACATGTAGTCTTTCTATCCCAAAGTAATAGCAGATATTAAAACAAACCAGGATGGCAGATTATATATGATGAGTGAGGCAAGAAACTGCCACCAGAAAGTTATGAGACTAAAGAGTTCTGTCTTTGGGTTACAACTGTAAACTAATGGTCCCCCAGATACGCTTTGCTGTAAATTCTCAGTTCCTTATGGCTTCTAACATAATACTAGTGTGGATCTCATGGATACTTGAATATTTGGACCAGAAAGAGCATATCCTGCTTAACCTTACTTACCCTGCTTCCTATTTTAGCAAACTAAACTATTCTGTAGACTCCTGAGGACAGGCAGTTATTTGTAGCTGGTGCTGAGCCATGGTTCAGAGCTTAGCTGTGCTGAAGGACAAATGAGAGAAAGCTGTTTTTTGAAAGAGCCACAAATGCATATGCCTTAGGTGCCGTCCATTAGTTTAGTCCCTGTGTACATTAATGCAAATTCAGATGGTCCAAAGGTGGCAAGGGCTAAATTAATCACAGAAGGCATCAAAGTGTATATGTTTAAACAGAGTAAAAAATATTTTAATATAGAAAGGAAATCCTAAATCCATATGTTGTTTCTCAGACACTTACATTGTTTGTGTTATGATGATTATGTCCAAGGCATGTGATCATCTCAAGAAGACAAAAGCTCTTTATAATGCTTATAAATTCATATTGCTAATGTGTTTCCTTTCTAACAGGATGAGAATATGGTTAGCTTCATAAAAGGAGGCATCAAAGTCCGAAACAGTTACCAAACTTACAGGTAAGTCAGAGTGATGATGTGATTAAGCATACTCTTTCAGTAAAAAGTGCTGCTGGTTGAATTGTCCAGTTCGCTAGTTACTGTTGTATTTATTGCAGCCTTTATTATGGGCATTGTGTCTATAGTCTTTCTCAAACCACACAAATTCCTCCTTTGCATAACAAAGGACATTGTTATTATGGTTGATTTGGATTGTAAAGGTAGTGGGCCCTAACCCTGTTAACTTCCAAGGTTTGCCTACTTCAAATGCTGTATCCTTGAAATAATGTCCAAAAAATGACTGTTCTAAATGATGTAGTGCTCATTGTGTCTGCATAGCACAGTTTCGAGGTCTCACAGTTATTAGGCATACGAAATGGCATTTCTTTATAGTTCTAGCTGCAGCTTTTTGGAACATTCAAAACCAGTAGCTGAAGCAGAAGTAATTTCATAATAAATGCATGAAACTAAAACAAAATTAAGAGACAATAATCTGAGAAGCTTGCAATGGAAAGTATAAATGGCTTCAAACAAAGATTAAACAAACTTACAGGAAATAGGTTTATAGGGGCTAGTTAGCATAGTAGAACAGATGCAGTCTGTCTGTGTCATGAAGTCCCTGAACAGCCAGTTCCTAGATGATGCTTTTCCAAGCATACGCTACTGTCTGAGTGAAATATTTCGTTATCTGGACTTTTAATCTGGTTAAGTATGGCAGTTGTACTCTAAAGAGAAGATACGTGCTATTGAAAACGATAAGCAGGGTTGCTTATCTGAACTCACAATATGCCCATTACTTACTGTCTATAAGCCAAAAACATCTGCTTAAGCAGATTTCATTCAGGAAGTTACAGAGAGCTACTTTCAACATGGGCAAAAGGTTTTGAAGTGCAGTAGTAAATTCTAAAAAATTACATTACAATGAACAACGTAGGAAGCATACTCAGTTGTGCCTCAATAAATTAAGATCAGCTCCATGTATTTTAACAAAGGGAGGGTTTGTATGTGAGATTGGCAGTTACAATTTTTGTACTGTACCTTTGATGTGGGAAGAAGTAATTGTTTGCCGTTTTGGTGAGAGCGTGGTGCAACGGCATACAGAGAAAACAAAGTAGTATGGAAATGAGACTTTATGTGCTTTGATTGATCAGTATTTTTTACAACATAGTTTCTGATATGAAAAGCCATTTTTCCTTTCCCTGCTGTCAGTGGTACTGCTTGATAATCCGCAACAACAGCAACCCTGAAAAGACAAGAGAGCGAAGTAAAGTAAATGTTGCAAAGATACAGTTTTTAAAACTCTATTTCAGGGAGGAAGGGTTACCATACGCTGTAAAAAAGATGTAACGAAATAGAACAGTAATTCAGAATGAAACATTTGCTTATTATTAGTGAATAAAAAAGTATCAGAAAACTTTCACAATAGTACACTTACTGAATAGACTTAAATGAATAATTTGAAAAAGTGAAGGCTAGATATGCATTGTGTTTTATTTTATTTTAAGACTTTAAATTGGTCTCAGAACAGCCACAGAAAGTCGTCTAGCAGACACAAAACAGCATCCAGACCAGGTGCTCCAGAAGTATACTGAAAGGGAGGGAGATGACAGTGTCCATATTTGTGTGGGTTGAAGGCAACTCTAAATGCAAGTCCATTGTAAAGACTGCAATTACAGTGAATAGTCCTGTATCTGTTCGCAACAACCGGCAGGTAAAAACGTGGCAGCCCGAACACAAGTATGTGGCTGCCATTAAAACAGTGTTTTTCTTCTTCTAGTAGTTAACAAAATAAGCTCAAACAATAATGTGAAAAACACATAGCCATAGAAAGCTTGGAGACAAACGTTCAAATCCAGCTGGACTACACAGGGAAATAAAGGGACATTACAAAGTTGAGATATATGAAAATTAGAAAATAAGTGAAAAGTAATTTCCAGTATACTGGCCCGTTTAAAAATATTTGTTCCAATTGTCTAACGTTCTTTTCAATGAACATGCACAAAAAGGGACTAATCCAGGGCTTAGTGAAACTCAAATGAAATTTGCTAATTTAAATTTAACTCTCCTATACTACCACATCATCTCTTTTTGCAGAAGTGAAGGTTGGTGTTGCTCTCAACAGCTGTTCTTGAAACATTTTCAGGCAGAAACGTGATTACAAATTAGTCAATTAGTCATCTGTTGGAAGGAATTCATCTCCAGGACTCCATATTTTTGAATCTATAGTAATGTGACAGAAATTATTTGTTGATAAATCCAAGAAAACGTTGTAGGTGTTGTTCACTTGGGTGAGATGACAAATTGACCTTTTTTGAACTACTGTGTAGTTCAAGGTAATTGGATTACTTTCTTACTGAATTGTAATTAATAATTTTATTTACTGACAATGTAACAAAATGTTGTGCATTTTCAGGGAGCTGGACAGTCTTATACAGTCTCCGCATTATGTCAAAGGAGAGAACCATCTTCATTTTGAGGGAGGTGTAAAACTTGGAGTTGGAGCATTTAATCTGGTATGTACCATACAGTTCTCTTGAGCTGAAGTCCTGCAGCCTCCTGGAAATGACATTAACTTAAATACCTGAGAAGTTCCACTGACATCAGTGTTAGTAATCATACGGTTAAAGTCAGGTATGTGCGCTGACACTTGCAGGATCCCAGTCTCTGGTCTAAGAATGTCAGATTGTAATACATGTTAGAAAAAAAGAGACTACTGCCTGCAACGTGGGCAACACTGCTTTGTGTGTGCCGACCCCCTTGCTCATCCTCATGGAGAGATTGTCAGCTGAGAAATTATCTCATCTGACATGGGCTAAGGGTGTGTTCTTTGAGAATGTAGCCAAGTGCCTGTGCCCTTTTCCAGTAAGGGTGTTCATTAGCCAAGTTGACCAATGCTTGGGAGGAGGTACTTGGAGGGGAAGGTGTTATAGTCTCGTGAGAAGAGACCCACTGGGGTGGGGGCCAGGAGCAGCGTTGCACAGAAGCAGCAGTTGCCTGTCTTGTTGACAGCCATTTACTGTTTAACTGGCACTTGGAAAGCAACCAGGGACTTGGCTCTTAGCAGGGCAGTTGGTGGGGCAGTGTACATGCATGGGGCCTGGAGTGCTGCTCAGGCCACTGTTGGCTGTTGTTGTTTGTGTTCTGATCAGAAAACGTGTGGTCAAATGGTACAGGACAGTTCCTGATATGTCAGAGAGGCACTGATCCAGAAGTGGCAAGGGGTGACATGGTTGTTAAGGTGATGGGCTGCAGAAAGTACCTGGTGCTTCCCCTTGCTTGTGTTACTTTTTGTGAGTCTGGTACATGCCCAGATGTTAGATTTATGTCACAAAGAACAAATAGGTACTGTGTGGTAGACACCCAATATTTCTGAAACATCCAGGAAGTACTATATTTACTAAGTATGTGCTGTGTAAACATACTTCTGTGCAGGGAATCTTGGAGGCACAGGGTCTCTGTGTTAAACAAATATTTCTGTTTAAATTGTACATAAAATATATCAGGTGTATACATTTACCCAGGAAATCATCAGACACATAAAGAGGGTTTTAGTAATTTTAGTGGTTATTTCTTGTGTTTGGAAAAGTTGTAGGAGGCAGGTGGTAGCTGAAAGGCAGAAAGTGCTACTGCGTAACTGTTGCATATCTTTCTGTAGACATTGTCCATGTTTCCTGCACGGATTCTGAGATTACTGGAGTTTGTTGGATTTTCTGGAAACAAGGTAAATGTGAACTAAATATTATTAGTACATTCCCCTCACTCTTAAATTAAAAAATGGAGGACAGGAGTGTCTTCTTCCTCACACTAGCTGTAACCCTCTGAAATACTCTGATTGGTATCATGTGCGCACTGTTAGCAGTGATGCTTTCATGCAGCTCAGTTTTCCCTTATATTTTTGTCTGAACTTTTACACTTCAGAGATTGTGATACCATTGTTCAATGATCATACGGTTGTGAAACATGATAAATATAATGGCTAATACAATGATGTTGGCTTACTTAATTTTTTAGTTACTGGTCTTCTGATGTATGCGTGTGCTTAGAAATCCATAGCCAAAAGTGTGTTCTTAGCCTTTAATATATTAGCTCACTTGATAGTTACTGTCATTATGGTATCTGAATGTCCCTGACAGGTTCCTGCATGACATCCAGTTGGGGGAACAAAAGAACTTGATTTAATTTCCGATTATTTTTTTTCTCCATGTCTTTAATAGCAACTAATAACTTGAGTGTGGCACCTAAATTCTCTTTGCCTAAAAGAGTAAGTGCTTTTTTGCCTAGAGAGTAACCGATCTGACCTATGTTGTTTGTGCATGCAGTTTAAGGACAGAAGATTAGTAATGAAGCACCAGTAAACTCACATGAACCTGAGTTCTTGTGCAGGGCGTATGCACAGAAAGTACTGTGTTAGTTTTTTGTGGGTTTGTTGTTTAAAAATAGGATACTAAATTATTAAATATCTTGGCCTTGATATGTTGTACCAGCCCTTGTCTCTCATTCTACCAGCACAACATGAGATTCACTCAAAGTTGGGTTCCTGGATGAAGAAGACATGGTCTGTTTAACCTAAACCATTAGTCACGTTTATTTCATAAATGCTGGGTAAGGTAAACGTTTGATGTCCTGCAGACACAACAAAAGCTGTATAAACAAGTTAAAACTTAACTCTTTTGTAATGCTTTTTATTTACAAAACAAGTTTCAAGGAGAAAAATGTGTCCTTAATCAGAGCTGCCACCTTAGGTGACAGGTGGATGAGTGTCATCACCATTTTATTAGTTTACAGGATGGATCTTAGATCTGAAAATAAAATGTCTCATTTAAAAGCAGGGAGATTTTAGTAGAGCGTGGATTAGAACTTGGAAATTTCCAGGAGCTGTTTCACAAGCACTAGAGGTAAAAATCAAATAGTTCTATCTGTCAGTTATGAAAACAAAGAGCATCTTAAAGCAAAATATTCTCCTAGAAATGTAAGGGCAATTCATGTACCAACAAAGTTCTGAGAATACTTTGCTGAACATTCATCTTCTTACTGCAGATGAAAATTGTCCTGCTAATATAATTTCTGTTGTTTTCTTTTGGCCCTGGGATTTCTTGTATGGCTATGAGTGGGCTGATATTTGTGTTGATGAGTCAGCTCCAGTTTTTTAATAACTTGCTGAAGCATGACCTAGATTACCATAAACTTAAGCAAAAACCTGCTGTCTGCACACCATAAAAAAGGAGTATTTTAAATATGTTGATCAAAGTTCATTGATGGTCATTTATTTTAACATCCTTAAAAAGTCCTTCTGCATTTAACATTTGTGAGTCAGATGCCTAAAGTCAAAAGCAGAATTGCAATTGCATTTGCAGTCCTTTTCAGTGGTGGTCTTCCAAAGCTTGCAAGAGGAAGCTGTCCCTGCAGTACAAACAAGAGTCTAGAAGGTGAAAGAAACAGTGATAGAGGAGGAGAGGGAAAGTTTGTGTGTCATGTGGTATGCCCCATCTGGAAGAAAAGAGTTTTGAATACATCTGTGATCTTGCAGTCTTTTCCATTAAATGCTCATCGTAAGCATCAGATTGTGCAAAAGACAAAAGAGCCATGGTTAGTGCCTTGAGCTGTTTACAGTGTACCTGAGAACGCTACAGTGCACTGGAGGACAGCTTGCTTTTTGTGTGGGTCATGTGTTTATTAAAACTGGATATAAAATTGTGTTGCAATATCTTCCACAATACTAATCTGCCTTGAAGCCAGTGGATTTCCCCCTAGGGACTCTTCTTGTCTCTCAGACATGTCATGTCTGATAGTAAATGAGGACATGCCCAAAGCTGCATTACTTCCTAAGCCATTTGTGGGCACTGTGGACAACATGATCAACTTAACAGCAGTCTGGAGTCTCAAAATAGTGGATAGGATAAGATCAAGAAAGTGTAAAAGTAGCCTGAGGCCACCTTTGTTCCCTTCTAGTCCGAGATGTGGCAGTTGCGTGCTTCTCACTGTTCAAGCTCCTTTTCCCTGTATCATTAGTCAAAGTACAGGCTTATTTGTATTTCATGGCATAGGCCCTGCATTTGGGCATGGGGTCCAATGCAGCTTTGCCCAATTTCATGAGAAATTTTTTGTGGGCAGAGGTGTGTATTACACACCATGAGGTATGCCGTGCTGGGGAGCGTGCCTTCCTCAGTCACTGGGCAGTAAGTGCAGTATGTGTCCCATCTGGACTTTTTGTATTTAATGAAAACTTAACTTCTGATGTGAGATCAGAAAAGTCCTTGTGCTATATCCTGTATAAGCACTGAACCCTTCTTACTGAATCCTCTACCAGGTCTCGGGCTAATATTTACTCTTGTTCTTATTTTATAGATGATTACACATACTGTGCTGCTAAACTGTAGCGAAGTTTGACATGAGCCCACCATATGTTAAGTGCAATTTGGCAGGGGGTCAGATGACAGCATGATTTCAGGGAAAGGCAGGAAAACTTTCAGATAGAACCAATTTTGTTCAGATTATACTTTTTGATGTGGGAGGACATTTTTCTCAAAGCAGCTGAGCTGAAAAATATTTTTGATGTGTCTGTTTGTAATAAATTGAATTCTAGTTTCCCACTAAGCATCTTTTTGATTTGCATTTGGGTCTCTTCTGCAGATTTTAAATTAAGGTTAAATCTAAAATTATTTCCTGGGATACATTCAAATGCCCACGGCTACCAGTTTAAATACTCAGTTCTTCGTAAAAGCTGTTAGTAGTATCCATCCTCCTTGCTAAGCCTGCAGTAACGTGGTCAGGTCATGGGATGACCTTGCTTTGCTTTCATTATCAAGATCCCTAATTTAAAAAGAGTGATTTAAAAATACCAGTCAAGAGCTTTCACTTCAGGAAAGTAGATGGATTTTAGTCAACGGACAGCTGAAATACATATGAACTAGTCTCAACGTTGTCTGATAATGGTTTTGAGTGTAGTCCTTGTTCATATCGTGTATTCACTGCGGGAATTCCCACTGCTCATGTGGGGAGTTCGGAATGACAGACTATTGGATGTCTTGGGACAAGGATCAAATCAATGAGATACTGATGTAATATAATGTAGTGACAGTCTTGGGAATTAAGAGCTTGTTGAATGGTACGAGCAACTTGCACAGAAAGGTGAGAGTTATCGTATAGGATCACATTTGTCTCTAAGAAGTGCTGTTGCTTCCTGCTCTGCATTGCACCTTGTGCCCTTCAGAGTAATTACATTTTGCGTGAAAACAAAACATAAATGTCTTAATGTCATTTAAGTATTTTGAAGAAATTATGAGCACTTACTGCCTTGACATCTGTTTTACATTGTAGCAATATGCCCTGGAATAGACTTTGTTTGGAATCTCGTTCCTGGCGTTCTGGGATTGCTCATATCACCTGTGGCATAGGTGTAGGAGATATTTATGGGTTATTTACGGTTGAGATGTGTCCTAAGAATGAAGTATAATATACTCATTTAGTGACTCGCACCAGTGAGTGTGGTTTGTTTACAGAGTTTCTCCTTAGGCTCAAGTAGTAGCTGCTTGTGATTTGGTTCCAAGACCCTCAGTTTGATCCCCAGGGAGGATTACATGGGGGCATTGCCCAGCTCATGACACCTCACTTAGCTGATTAGGTTTGCTGGCTAATCTCCATAGGCTCCCGGTGGAAAAACAATAGGTGTTTGAGAAAGTGATTCATAATGGTCTGACCTAGACTTCTGTGCTGAGTTGTTCCCTGGAGCAGTACCTCTGTCTCTGCCAGCCATAGAGGGAGCCTAGGGAGGCTGGCTGGATGAGTGCTGTATCTAAAACGTGTTTGCCAGCAACAGACACCTTTTACCATCCTAACTTCCTGGGGATCTCATCAAAACAGAAGCTGTTTGCAAGGGGGGGTTTTGAGAGAAGTAGCTTTGTTGCAGCCATTTTTACAAGCAAGAGTTGTAATACCAATAACAACTACTGCTAGATTTCTTTTTCTCTGACTGTTATACTGATTATATTGTAACTTTAATATGGAAAGTTTGGGATGTTCCAAGTGGCAGAGTGAAAAGAAAGTATTCTTTAATACCTGTACTGGACAAAATAGGATTATGGACATACCACAGAGTGAACTAGCTTGCTCGGTGAGCTTCCCATACCTGTGTAACTGCTCAGTTTAAGAATTTAGGCTCGAGTATGCCAAATTTGCAGCCCTCTTCTGATGAATGGGCAATGTTCTTAATCCAGTTACTTCACAGTTACTGCTTTCCAGGATGCAGTCCCACATAGGGTGGGCGTGGGTTGCATTCCTTGTCCATACAGATGATGACTTTGTGGTAGATTTTTGAGAGTGAAATATGTGAGATCAACTTGACAAATGATTAAATTATTCTGTGACTAATAAAATTTCTTTCTGTATCATTCTTCATGCTATTCACAAATGCGACCGGCGTTCACTTTCTATGCATTTTTATATTATGTGGAAGATACCAAACACTGTAAGGCCTAGTACTGAAGTCAGTAAAGGCTCAGTGAAATATCTAGCCTGAAGATTTTTCAGTTCAAAAAGGTGTACTTTGGAAATCTGCTTTGGAATTTTTTTCTGCCAGAATTCATTCCACAGAATGTTTTGTCATACTTCTAGCTCGCAGTGCTATAGTGCTACTTTTTAAAATCCAAGTATTTCTGATTTTCATCTGGGCAGTCTAAAGAAGCTGAATATATCATATTTTGTTACTTACCTGTATCAAGCAAACTTTAGCTCTTAGCAGAAAATGAAGTTGGCTTTATTTTGCTTAGTGTTTGATTTCCATTAAGTCATTGATTTTCAGTAATGATTTTACTGTCTTTTAATTTCTTCTGAAGTGACATGCAAGCCAGTATTTTCCTTATTTTGTCTGGGCTAGATGCTATACTAACTGACCTGCAAATATGTGTGTTAACGGTACTTTTCCCTATAACAGTAATTAATGTAATAAATTAAGATACTTTTTTTAAAAAGACTAAATAACTGTTTGTGTGAAGATACTTAACCACGCTAGTTAAGTGAAAAAGTACATGTATGATGAAAATTAGAATATGATTACAGGCTTCAGGGTTCACAAAGTAAGTGGTAAAGATGAGGTAGCGTAACACCCCTCTGTTGGCAAGGACACACAAAAGATTAAAATCTGCGTTGAGACCATGGTCTGAGTGCGCTCTTTGATACCTTCTGCAGTGGCTCCTATAGACATCCCTCAGAGTCCCTATTTATAGTGAAAGGATGTCCTTATAGTCACATCCATCATGTTCCAGTAACTTTCCGTTGCAGTCGCAGTGTAACTTTTAGACAGAATTTTCCTCAGCACACAGTGGATGTCTTACTGTGCATATTTACTGGTAGGCTGATCTCATGTTTAATACATTTGCATATTTATATTCTTGTTGTTGATATCATGCAACCAGTCCTATGGACTACTAAATGCTGTTGCCTCAGCAATCTGTAAAGTTGTTTATCCATCGTGTTCTCATTGAATACGAATACGGCCTTGTATTTGATTGCTTTAATACTTCCCAAAGGAAACAGAAATACTCTTTTCATTGTATTTTTCCGCTGGTGGTAGTTTCCACTGGTGGTGCAACATCATTGCAAAGCTCCTTTTGTTCTTTGCATATGTAAAAACATCCTTCTGCCCTGTCATCTTTTGTCCTGCTAGTTGCAGGTTTTACTTTTTTTCTTGGTATCTTCAACTAGCTTATGCACTGAGTAACAGCAGACATAGATACACTGCACCATGGTGATATGTGTAATTTGCCTTGCATTTCAAAACTCTGTGTTTTTTGTCTCTAGAATGCTGTTCAGCGGCACTGGCATGGTGGTGATAAGTTGTCTCACATTCTCTAACATTAGCCATGTAATACATCCCCAGTGGCTGCTCTGTCATCAGGTGTTTTCCAGGCTAAGCAGTAACTGTGAAAAACCGTTAGATAACTTCATATGTGTATTTTTATCTTTGATTGCTACGTAAGCAATGTTTGTCAGTGGATTTTGGGAATTTGGTGAGTGTAGATGATACTGCAGAAGTTGACAAACTAGCAAAACACATCTTTGGTTCTTTTCCAATACTTTGTCCTCCTTACCTTTGTTTGTACAGGAGCGTGGTCTGCTGCAGCTTCAAGAAGGAGCATCATCATACAGCTTTAGGTCGGTGCTGTGTACCATGCTGTTGCTTTGCTATCATACTTTCATGACCTTTGTGTTAGGTAAGACTGTTTATAATAACTCTTGGATTTGATTAGTTCTTGTGGGACACAGAGGGGAAAAAGATTATTCCATCACCTCTTTTTAGTGAATGGTTTATCATGACCAGTTTAAATACAATGTATTTTGGGGTAATTTTACACTGGTGATCATAGCTGAAGAGAGTGTCTTAGTCTTCAGGATGGAGGTTTGTTTAACATAAGAAGGGAGACGATGGGAATAGCAAAGTAAGTTGTGAGAACTGAAGCTGTCTTCAGTAGTCAGGTGCATTATTTGCAAGGTTAAAATAATGGCTGGAAGAGATGACTTCCTGAATACTTTGTTTATGTTTATATGTCATCCCTGACTTTTCTGAGAGGTGATAGCTTCCCACTGAGGCGTACTTCCCAGTTAACCCCTGTTAAAGCATTCTACAAAATGTGTTTGTCTACACATAAGTGAGTTTCCAAGTCAGTAAGCACAATGTTGTTCAGGTATTCCTGCTTACTGGCTTAGTGCAGCACCAACCTATATTTATGCCTTACTTATCAGAGAGAGGAACTTGTGTATTGGCCAGAGGAGGATGAGTAATCAGTACCTTGCATTCCTGTTTTGTGGGGGGTTTTTTGTTTGTTTGGTTGGGGTTTTTTGTTTGTTTTTCTTTTCTTACTATTTTTATTGCTTGCATTTTTATGCATTCTAGGGACAGGAAAAGGAAATGTTGAGGAGGCAGAAAGACTACTTAAGCCTTACTTGGCTCGCTATCCAAAGGTAAAATGAATCACAAATTAGTTTGGTATGATCGTTTAATGTTTTCTTGCCAAATAACAAAAGATGTAGACTGTATGGTCTTGAAAACTGTTATAGAATACTTGTATTTTTATTATTATTTATTACAGGGAGCCATATTCCTGTTTTTTGCAGGCAGGATAGAAACACTAAAGGGTAATATCGATGCGGTAAGTAATCCTTTTGCTCTTGGGAAAGTAAGTGCCAAAAGCTTTAGAAAAACTCTTCCAGGAACAGTGTTTCCCTTTTGGCTAATGCTTCCTGTGGCTTTGGCCTATATGTAATTTATAGTTTATGAATTGCAAATAGGAATTTTGAAAACTTATTTTGACTAGCTAGTTTGACCAGCTCATTTTGCTACCCTTCTCAATTTCTGGTCATAATCTAGTCCACCAGTATTAATGACGCAGTTTTCTCATTGTCTCTTCTATCCTGAAGCACGTTGTGCCGCTAATAACATCCAGTGACAATCCTTTGCCCTCAATCTGAGTGGGGAGTCATACGAGACTTGAAGAATTAGGGAGGTGAAGAATGCATGTCCAAAACACTCAGAGTATCAGCTGGTGTGCAGTGCAGTAGCTCCCTTGAAATCTTTGGAGCTGCAACAATAAATGTCAGCTGAGCAGCTGTCCTCTGACTTTAGTTTCCTAATTTCCTTAGACACAAACATTCATTTTGCCTATGTTTAGAACCTAGTATAACTTCCAGGAATGGGCAGATCCGTGGCAAGGGTAAACTTGCTAACACCAGGTAGACTGTGGAGCCAAGAATCTCATGTGTGAAGCCAACAGACAGGATTTTGGGGAATACTGGGCTGTTAATAATTTGGAAGTTGCAGGAGCCATGCTGGCAGATCTTGGAGCTCCAGTGTCTATTACAGCACTGGTGTATTTGCATTTACACGTGATTAAGGCAGCGTTTGGAAATCTCTGTGTTCAGGCAGTTAATAGGTATGAAGAATGTTGCGAGGCTCAGCAATATTGGAAGCAGTTCCATCACATGTGTTACTGGGAGCTCATGTGGTGCTTCACCTACAAGCGCCAGTGGAAGATGGCTTTCTTCTATGCAGACCTGCTAAGCAAAGAAAACACTTGGTCAAAGGTAAGTTAAGTGGAACAGGAGAGTGGAAGGCCCTGTAGTATCTATTAACTGTCAGTCAGATTGAGTTGACTTTTTGTATCTTTGAAGCCTTTGTAGCTTTGAAGATGAAGATTGTAAAACAAAACTGGTCTGCTGTGGGCACTTATAAGTACGATGTGAATTGCAAATATTCGAATCTGAACAGATTGTGGGCAAACAGAAATCTTTTGGGCCTGGCTTGTAGATGAAGAACAGCTTGTTAAAGATGTTCTGTTATGTATTGACTGGTTGTGTCAACACATTGCAATTAATGGTGCAAGTTGCTATTTCTTACATTATTGAATATGTGCTCTTCTGGTGATGAGTGAGGCTAGCCATGATGGTGCCTTCAGGATTATAAATATAATTAGAAGGGACGGCTTGAGCTGTGTGTCTGAAAGGAAGAAGGTCTTCCATCCAGAACCCTGGTAGCTTTTCTCCCTTGTCTTCCCCTGAGCCCCAGGGAACTCTGTCAGAAAGGATTAAGTCTAGTCTGGAAGGGGGGTGTGTGTGTGTGATTGATTGGAGGTTTGTTTCTTCTTAATGTCTTAATGTGATCAGATCATGTGTGTGGGGAGGGTATCTTTGTCTGTTTTTTCTACTACATATTATATGTATTGGCCAAGTGGAACCAAAACTAATATAAAGTCTAAGCAGCCAGGTGAGAGCAACTCTCTTGGTGCTCCCACTGGTGTGAAAACTGCAGTGTGGACCCCCTGTGCCCCTGGGGATCCCAGCGACCCAGCCAGGTGCATTAGTCTGAATAGCTCTCACAGCCAGGGGTGCACTACCTGGCTAAAAGCTTTAATATCCTGAAATGCTCTAGGATTAATGTTAACCTGTGTCCTTTTAAACTGTGTGTGGTGTTTTATACTGTATTGCAGGGGCCTTAGGAGCAGAGAAGATTCTTCCTATTAATATGTAATCTACAGTGCAACGTGATAGTAGCAAACTAGTAACTACATATGCACTTAGATTCCGGTGTAAATAATCACAGCTTTAAATATTCCAGAAAACTCCTGAAATTTATGGTTACTGTAGACTCCTTAAAGCAGTAATCAAGAACTCACAACTGTTATTCTCTGCTGTTGCAAGAGTTGTAACGTCGTCTGCTGCTTTGCTTCCCTTGGTTGATGAATGTGTGATTGCTTGGGAAGTCCTATGAAATCAGTACTTTTCTTAATCTGAAATCATGAAACCCTTCAAAAACTGTTTTCTAAAACGCAATATTTGAGATATGCTACCAAGTTGTGATTGGACACATCAGCTATACAGTATTATTTTTTTCTCTGAGCATGGCATTTTCATAAGTTTTCTAGCATGTAATCCTGAGAGTAATAGAAGTTCACTTTACACAAGCATGACTTGTTCTTGGAATTTGGACTTATATAATAAGCTGATACAAAGTAAACAGATATACATGATAAAAAAAAGTCTACATTCCACTTTCTAAAATACTTATCTCCTGCTTAAAATTTTGTAAGTTTATGTCTGTGAGCAGAAGCAGCAACTTCTTCCTCTTCGTGGCTGATTTGTGCTTTATATCAATAATGGTGATGCTGTAAATTAATTTTTCTATATAGATATTCTTGGTTGCATTTGCAGGCTACTTATATTTACATGAAAGCTGCTTATCTCAGTATGTTTGGACCAGATGACTGCAGTCCTTTTGGAGACAGTGAAGTTGAATTATTTAGGTAAAATTTGCTAACTCCCCATTAAAACAGTTTCCTATCTTTTCACATCATAATGTTGGGGGGAGAGAGGTAAAATTATTCATTGTGTAGTTTGGAAGATCTGCGCAAATAGCATTGGATTTGTAAGAAATTGCAGAATTAAACATTCCCTTAGACTAAAGTGGACCCTGGGTTCAGACAGGATGTTTCTTCTGGCCTGGAAATGCTTTAGGGATAGGATGTTGGGTCTATGAGCCGTACAGTGGCTGCTGTTGTTGCATGTAACATTCACGTTCTTTTTCAGTTGTTTCGTTTAAACAAAACAGTACGTAAGATATGAAAGCCTTCAGTGGGTTATGCTACAAGATGTGTGCCTTCTTTAGTGGAGACATCTGTACAACATGACTCCTGGGTTTTGAGTCTGAGAGGAATATGAAATAGTTAAATGTGCAAGTGAATATATGAACACAGTGAGTTAACATGATTGTAATGTTGAAGCTTAAAAATGCCTAAACCTTGCTGGAGCAAAGAAAATTGATTACTTTTGGGTTTTACAATTTTTCTATAAAATCTAAATACCACTTTTTTAATGTGCTTAAAAGATATTGATACTTCTCATGTTTTCCATGTCTTCATATAATCATTACAAGCAGATTTCACTGGATTTGGGATCCATTATGAAGTGAATAGGTTTGGTCTTGGGGAGAATGGGAGGAACACTGTCAAAAGCTACCTTGTCCCTTTCTTAGTCTGTGAAGAGTTTATAAGTTAGGTACATCATCTAATTTATTCCTTTGGTGAGGAAGAGTCCCTCTTCCTCCTGCTTGATTAAAGAGGAAGCCTAGAGATATACGTGCCCTGCATAAAGAGAGCTTTTGTAAATATGTATTGCTCAGCTTCCCCAGAGGTAGCAATAGCTCACTGTTACAGCTTTTTTAAGTTCTCTTTGGGTTGTTTTTTTTAAGTTTGATTTTTTTTTCACAGAGGTTCACAGAGGAAAAATTCCTTATGTTTTCCTTTAAACTTTCAGGATTGTCCCCAGTTTGAAACTGAAAATTGCAGGGAAATCTCTGCCTACAGAAAAGTTTGCAATTCGGAAGGCTCGACGATACCTTTCTTCAAACCCTGTTCCTTTGCCTGTTCCACCTTTGGTAAGTTAGAAATATATCTGCCACACCCCCCCTTTTTTTAATTTTGTAACATTTTTTTAATTTATGGAAATAAACCCGAGATAATTAGAATAGTATCTTTCCACGTTTCTAAGGTAAAACCTCTGCAGGAGACTGGAATGTTCCCAAAGCAAAGCCAAATGAATGCAAGGAATGCTGTAAAACTGGGGCATGCACCAGCCACAGGGAACTAAGCCAGTTGTTTGTGACACTAAAATGTGTTGCATGTGTAACTCATTATTCCAGCTATAGACTAGCATGCTCCTAACAGCTTTCTTTTGATTCCCTTTTGAGGAACTTTGCCCTAGGTCTCTTCTGTCACGTGTCATTTACTAAGACTACTAAAAGAAGACTTTAAGGTACAAGTTACGGGGTGGGGGCAGGGGGGAAGCAAGGAAACAATGCAAGAATTTGGGACTGTGTAAGCATCTGTTTAATCTGCCCCTGAATGTTTGCAGTTTCATGCTCTCCAGAGCAACTTGCTGGTTCTGGAATGAAACAACCAAATCCTTTAGCCACTCAGTAAACCATTGCATACTGTTGATTTTTTTTTTTTTTTTAATTTTTTCCCCCTTCCTGTACTGATGGCCAGTTCCCTGTGGCCACATGAAACAGCTCCCTAAGGCACCCACTGCCTCACTCATGGTGCACTTAGAAAAATCCGTCTGCAAAGAACACGTAAAAGAATATAAAAGGATTTTGAGTCCACAGGTTTGCCAAGTGCAGTGCTGTTAACATTTGCAGTGCTTTGAGCTGTTGTATTTGAAAAATAGATGGATAATTAGTAAACATTCTTTAGAAAATGCTTGGATGAGGAGAGCCACTTGGAGACACCAGCTGGGTATGTGACACAGTGCTTCTTGAAGAAATATAGTTGTTACAGCATAGCATGGGTATTCACTAGGGACCACTTTCCACTAAGTCTTAAGACTGAGATAAGAGAAATAATTAGGTTACTTTGATTTGCCTTTCAGGTTTCAGAGATTGTAGACAGTAAGAAACGTACACACCTGGGGTTTGGCTGGGTTATTCTAAGAGGATTTTAGCAGAACAGGTTTCTGTACTAAGTGCTCTCCTTGGAGTGGCTGGGAACCGCGTCCTTTGTTTCTGCTGCAGTTGCATTTCTAAGGCAGCAGATGCCGCAGCTGAACAGTTAAAAGAGCTCTCAGGATCTGGAATTCGGTGTAGAATCGCATGCCTAGGATTTTTCTTTTCAGTGTGAAGGGACTTGCTGAGAGGAGCAAGTCCTCAACCAAGTCATAGCTCAGAGATTTAGCCTAGAATAAATGTCATTTGAATACTTCTGTTTCAAAACCATATTAACAAATCTGCACTAGACACAGTAAGTTCAGCACAGGTTTTCCAATCAATAGAGACCAGATGGTGAAAGCAACAGTGACTGGGGTTAACATGCTGTTTCCTCTGTTCTAGCCTGACAGCTTTTTGTACTATAGTTCCAACACTCAGTTATTCTGTACAGAAATTTTGTTGAAAAACTTTAAATTATCAAATACAGACCGTGTCATATAAATGAATAGAACAAATAACTTGTCATAAGGACCACTTGTAAGTTTATATAGTATTTCCATCTTTAACGTTGTGATTGCTAGTGGCAGTGGGTACATTTGGTCTGGTGATATACTCTAAGAGAGCACCCCAATAACAAATAGGAATTAAACCAATAGTTTTTAATACACTTTACACTAAGAACAGTTGAATAAGAAATAAGGTACTTTCTAGGGGAACATCAAACATACCTGAGGAATTTAAGGGGTTTGCAGGCTCTAAAATTCTGCTGGTTTATTTGAAGTTTGGCTTAGAGGTTAGGAGTTTTGGTTTTCTTTTTGTTTGTTGTCCTGAGGTTTTTTTTTATTATTATTTCTAGGAAAGTAATACATTGTAGTTTTTTATAGTTATTACTGCCCTGGCTAGGATAGAACTGAAAAACAAGAGGAGACTTCAACCAAGGAACAGTTAGCCATGTGCCATGAATGTTTTAGGGCTGTCTGTTTTGTTGGTACTTGGCTTCATCTGTAAGTGAGGTTGTGTTTACATTCTGTTCAGGCAATCCTGCTTGCATTGTGTGTAGTAAATGGCTCTTTAGTGGTCTTCTGGGGCTAATTTGTTCTGAAAACCAGTGTAACAAGTTTTCGGTTGCAATGAAAATATTTTTTGACAAACTGACTGTTTATTTAAGGAATCTGTAACTTTTTCATCATACAGAGATAAACTAAAGTATTTGATAACTGCATTTATCAAGTACTATAATTAATGATGCTGTTATGTCTTCCTGACCCTAGGAAATGATGTATATCTGGAATGGCTATGCTGTAATTGGAAAATGTCCCAACCTAACAGAAGGCATGTTAGAGACTTTAATTGAAGCAGAAGAAGCATTGGCAAGAAGTTCAGGTAATCAGTGATATGGTTTAAGCAGGTATTTTAGTGTGTAATAGCTAAAGATATTATCTGTGAATAAAGAGACACTCATTAGTAATTTTAATCTGATTATAGGAGGAACATAGATAATGAACCCATAAATTGTTTGTGCAGATAGGAATGATTTTCTTTTTTAATATAGTGATAACTTGCAATAGTAGCAAGTGATTTTTCCATCCACAGATGTGTATTAGGGATAGTTTATGACATGTGTTAAAGGGCTATTTATTTTGCTAGATAAAAATCAGTATATGTATTGACTTGATCATTGGATCATGAAGCTTTGTTATTCTCAGATACTGTATTTCAGTTTTGAAGGATAAATAGAAGGAGACAAATCAGTCTGTTTTTTAAAAGTGCAGTCAATTTATGATGTGACCTTGGGCTGAATGGTATTTGTGTGTCAACAGTACGCTACGGAAAGCTAGGACATCGGGGATGGGCTTCCTTTGCACTGTGAATGAGTAATAGATGGTATTGAACTTGAACAGGCTGCTACCACATCCTCTTGTCAGTCTGTTAATTATCCATCCATGAAAAAGTTGAATTGATGTTTATTTCTTGCCAATCTTTCCCAACTCCTATAGGAGTGCAACCAGTCTGCACAGCTTTTCTCACAGTTGTCCCTTTCTGAATATTTGATCTTACTATTATAGACTACCTTCCTGCAAAAGGATCAAGCCTCTGTTGATAAAGGAATATGGGCTAAATCACTGCATTGCAGTCTTTTCTAGGACCTTGGTCTTCCTGTGCACAATGTGTTACACAAGATTTGAAAGAGTTGCTTAAAAGACCGGCTCAAGCCATCTCCTTTAATTGAAAAAGAGAATGAAAAAATACTTCTAGTGAAGGTGACATTTTAGGAGGAGACTGTTGACCCTTTCAACACATTTATCACCTGTTTTGTTACATTATTTTGAATAAGTGAATTATTTCTCTGTTCCCTTTTTTTCTTAACTGGTAAATTGTAGATAAGGCTGGCGTTTTGCAGGGATTTGTAGAAGCTGATTCATGTTTATAAAACACTATGAAGACACGTAATCAAAAAGCGAGATATATTTTAAACACACCAGCAATTTAAAGTACCTGTTCCAAATAGTGACTTGCTGCTTCCAGGTGTCATGCTTTCCTTGAGCTTTCCTGACAGTGTTTGAGGCTAAACTATTGTATTTTCAAGTATTTTCTCTGTATTACTGTTAGATGCAAGAATCTAACACTATAAAATTATGAATCTGAGGATGTGCTCCTAGAAGCGTTGTGCCGTGTAAGATGTAAAAGGAAGTCTGTTAGTGGAGTTAACATGTAGAAATACAATTATGCATATCAGATTTGCATCTAGGATAGGTCCCTAAATGTTTGCTTATACAGTCCAGGGCAGCTTGTTACAAGCAGAGGAAATACATGCATGTGAACGTGTCTTGGGACAGATGTCCAGAAGAGACAACTGATCTGCCTTTTTTATTATTCTTATGAAATAACTCTTCTGTGGCCCTGAGTCATCTCACTGTGCATGTACTGAGTGCGTCAACTTTTGGCCTTTTCCCTGTTCCTTCAAAGTTTGCTGCATAGTCTTTGGGTGTCTTCCCTGGGATTTGCTTTGGTGACATGTAGGGGCCTTTATGTATGTAGGGGCCTCTGTGCGACATAGCAATAGAAGTGACTCCAGTTGTAGGATCAAGGGCCCCAACTGTCCAAAGGGAAGCAGCTGTGTCATGCAATATGCGTCAGCATTTAATCAGCTGGAGTGATAGAGGAAGGACCAGGTAAAGTTTGGGGTAGTGAAAACAGGATGACATTCAATAGCATGAGATGGAGTATCACACATTTTGCAGCAATTCTTTTCACTTAGTATTTCATGAATTGGAAATGAGCAAGCAAGCTGAAGATTTTGCTTGTAAACTTTAAGACTAAGCTGTCTATATGGAATGGCTATGAAAAAGCTAGATGTTTTCTTTGAAATGTATTATACAAAAATTCTTTGATGAAGAAAGGGTGTTGATTGTAGTGACTTTTAACTAGGCGCTGGTGGAGCTGTTAAGACTCTGGACACTCAGAAGTATAAGCTCAAAAGAGGTGAAAAGAAGGTATGGTAAGAAGATGAGGGAATGTGAAGTGCAGGTAGTGAAGTTTGGCGTGTTTTTGTTTAGCCAAACAAAGGTGGAGAGCTGATAACACACTTGCATATGATTAGGTCATGTGACTAGAAGTTAATGAAGGAGAAGAGCTATACATACTAAAGGGGAATGAAGGCATGAAGTTAAGACGTTATAAATTGGATATCAGTATTTCCAAAGTGGACACCTTAAATTAGTGGTTACGTGTCAGAGCAGTAAGATTGTGGAATAGCCTTTCAGTGGGAGTAGGCAGGGAAAGAACAGCCCAACAATTTTTAGACGAAGTTTGATCATTTTATGAAAAGGTCGATGCGTGTTTGTCTCTGCATTAAATGAACTAAATTGACCAGTTAATTCCTTCTCTCCTGTGCTCCAGTAAATGGATTGTGCTTACACCTACCTGTGTAAAAGTTTCCATACAGGTAGGAAAGTCTCTGCTGCTTTAGAGTTTTCTAAAATGTGGCATTTATTTCGATTTACAGGTACAGAATTACTAGCAGATGACCAGTGCGTGGTAAAACTGTTAAAGGGTTTATGCCTGAAGCATTTGGGCAAGATCTCAGAAGCAGAAGACCATTTTAATTACATCTATGTAAAGTAAGTTTTCATACCTGGCATGTAAGAGAGCTCTTGAATTTCTCAGTAACTATTACTTTCAAGTAAGAGGAGATGCAACTGTGATATGAAGAGAAGGGAGAGGACTGCAGTATCTTTAGCATTTATTTCAGTTGCTTTGGTATCAAGGAATTGCAATTTTAATTGCCGGTGGTCTTAGCCATGTAGGGAAGAATTGCAAATCTGCACTTTTTACTGAGATATTTTCTCCTTTTTTTGAGGACTACAGGTGCATAAAATTTATGAGATACCATTTCCCTTTTTTTGTCCCCTTCCTCTTACCAGTCATGAAGAAGCTGTACCCAAAAAGCCAAATGCAGTCTGCAGAGACAGGTGGCAGCGTGATTATACTTGGAACTTCTGTACATCCTGCAGTGAATGGCATCTCTTTTTGTCAGTTCACATGGATAGAGCTCATAACATTGTCATCTTCTCTAGTACTTCCCTGATAATAAAGGCAATATTTTGTAATCCTGAGAAATAACATACTGTGTAGGATGGTTGTGCGAAATATGCATTTAATAACCTTGAAGGTAGCTTTGGATAGAGAACATGACAAGTGTCGTAATAGAGATTGATTGCTCCTTCTGATCTTAGCTAATCTGCTATTTATTTGTGTTTGGATCTGATAAACGAGGGAACCTTTGTCATTTCAAGATCTTGAGGCTGTTTCTTTTCCAATGCAGTGAGAAGAAGATAAAATATGACCATTATCTAATTCCAAATGCCTTGCTGGAGCTGGCAATACTGTATCTAGACCAGGACAGAAGAGAAGAGGCAATAAAACTACTGGAAAGAGCAAAGTAAGCAAGTCAAAAGCCTGTGCTGATATCTGATGGGTCAGTATGGTATTTTACTGGTTAGCAGGAAGAAGAAACATTTCATTAATATCATGGAAACTCATTGTTTCATTTTTTTTCAATGGAAGCACCATGCCTTAGTTTTGGTTTGGACCTTTCTAGTACACATGATGTGATCGTTCAGTCTGTGACTTACCCATCCGTTCTGATAAGAGCAAAAATATTTTAAAGATGTTAATAGGAATGTCAAAGACTTCCATAAGAAATAATCCATGTGTAACAAATTGTAATAATCTTTGTAGTCTATTTACTTGTTTATAAAAGATGTATTTAATTAAATTGAAGCTCTGTGTTACGGCTAAAACGGCATTAATCAAATTGTTGGCTAGCAGTGCTGTTTTCTTTCCTTCATGAAATACATTAAAGGTAATGCTTCAGGTTGCATTTGGTATCTTTGTATTGTTTCATCTGCATCTGAAAGGTAACTGAAACACCTGCTTTTACTATTTTGCATGATTGATTTTTCTAGCAAAGTAGGTTTATCAGGAATGGTTGGACTTGATCATGTATGTTCTTTATTACAAAATTAACAAAATACGGGTTTTGCCGCTGTCCGAGCCTTTACTCCTCTGCTAAGCCAAAAATTTCTTGGGGCCGGAGGAGGGAATCCAAACCAAACAATCCTCGCCCTCTTCAAGCATCCTGCAGCAGGGTAGTTCACCTCCGCCCGGATCCTGAGTGAGTCCAGATGTCTGCATCTTTCCAAGTGCAGAGAGTCACTCCAGTCACTGCCGCAGGTGTGAGCAGCTACAAAACTGATGTCTGGCCCCAGGTTTCAGAGAGGTCAGATAGAGTTTTTGTGTTGAGCTTTTGTCCAAGTCAGTCCTCTATGCAAGACAGAGTGGTGAATTAGCCTACTGAAGATTATGCCAAAAGCCTATCAACACAAAAATTAAAATACTGCAATTCTCTATCTCCCATGCTTGTGAGCCTGGTTCTCTAGAGGTAGACTCATGGAAGATACTAAGAGCAGGAAAAAAATGCATTAGCAAAAAGCAGTGGAAAGTGGTCCAATTGGCTTCACATTCCTCAAAACACGCCTCTCCTCCTATCCTCATTTCCCTTTGTTCAAATCTCTCTTAAGAAGAGATCTAGAAATAACAATTCAGAGCTGCTCATTGCGTCTAGTACTCCTGATGCTTGCTGCTCAGCCATTGCGCTTTTCCTCTGACAGCTCCGTGTGGCTCAGGTCGCAGACCCCCTCGAGGGAAGGTGTTTGGCTTAAAGAGCATCAGCAGACAGCAGCTCTTAAAAATTTGTTGTTACCCAGTGTATGAAAAGCTAATACTCAGACTTGCTATGCTCACAGAACTCCTGAAAACTGTAATGATATGCAAAAAAAAAAGCCCCCCTTGTTTCAGTTAGTCATTAAAAAAAGTGCGGTCCTTACATTTCCACCTGTAGTTACACTGCATTAAAATGCTCAGGGTTTATAAGCTTGCAGCTGAAAATGCTGAATGTCTCTGCAGCCACTGGAGGGAGAATGCGTTGTCCATGGTGGGTTTCAGGACCGGAGAATTATGTTTGCAATTGGCAGGAGTGCAGCCGAGCACTTGGCTTGTGCATGATGCTTGATTTACTTGACCTAAATCCACATACTGCTGCTGGCTTGAACGTTTCAACTCTGGGAGAAGAGTGGAATGAGATGATAAACTGTTTTGGCTCAGTCATGCATGGAAATATTTCTGTATCTATTTGTATGACTGTAAGCTACAAGCAAGCATATCAGCCTGCTGATGAGAAATACAGTATCTGCATGACAAAAATCTACTTAATTTAAAGAAAAAAACTCTGAAGAGTTTCAGTCAGCATACAGCAGAACCCAGTCACCTCCTTTTCTCAGTCAGCCTCTTGGGTGTTGCATACATAAAATTATAAGCTGGTGTAGGATGGGTGTGGAATTCCTTGTTTTCACAAAGAGTCTGCCACTGCCATAGTGACAGATACCATGCTTGATGTGAATTACGAATTTTGAACTGAAATGCTTTTAAGGTTTACAGACTGTTTAATATTTAATGTTTCTTTTAGAAGATATTTGTCATCTTTACAGAAAAGTAAATTAGCATGGTCTAATCCTCTTTGGTATCTGGATTCTGTATCCGTCCTGCAGGAGCTGACATGTTAATTCCTATTAAGTAGGATCTGCACTTTCTGTGTGGTCCTAGGGGCAAGTTTTCTTTTTTTTATATAAGCTTTTCCATGAAAACACAGATTCCTTTAATGTTTCTGTAACTGTAGAGCATGACATAGCTACTGGAGACTGTAGGCAGGTGACACTGCTGAGTCAGCTGCTAGATATTTGCGAGGGAAGTCCTGCCAGTCTTTCCCTGGGCTGCTGAATTGCTCCTTGAAAGCTGGCACAGAGTCCCCTGTGTGCCCACTTTCTCTTTCCAAGCTTCTAGGGCACCAAATTGTCTGGCCTTACTTCCTGCACACAGTACGCATCATTGACAAACTATAGGATGGAGATGGGGTGTTTCCCTCGTCCGGTTCAGGACAGCTTCTCCCTCTTTTTCTTTTCTTTTCTTTTTTTTTTTTCTCCTCTGCTTTCTTGAAATGTGTCAGCTGAATTAAGATGAGTCTATCTTATTAAGATGATTTTTTGAAATTCCTGAAAATGTTTGTATTCAAATTTGTCAGTTATACTTTGAGAGGGGGAGAAAAAATAATTTCTGAACTAAGTTGATGTCGTAGATGTTTAATATGGACTCAATATTTGATTGAGCGGACCAGATTCAATTTCTTATTAGGCTGTATTTTTCTGGTAATGGCCAGACAGTGGAACTACAAATCAAGAACAAAGAGCTGCATTGTTTGGCTAGGAACGCATGCCTTGTATTTTAGAGTAGGCAACAAAGGAGCTTGTGAAGAAAGGCTTTTTTGCTGTCTACAGTTGTTTTGCATAGAACAATAATATAAAGATAACTTAAAAACGTTTTAAATATATATATTCATCAGAGTGGATCTGCTTTTGTTTTAGACAAAACTACAAGAATTACTCCATGGAAACAAGAACACATTTCAGAATTCAAGCTGCCCTGCACCAAGCCAAATCCGCCCCAGAAAATGGAATGCACTCTGGAGCCTCAGCAGTGTCGTAACTTTTTCTTCTTTGGTGTCCTGTTTGTTGCGAACTTTGGTGCAGAAAATTACTGACACTTTAGAATTATTTTTCCTTCTTTTCAAGTCAGTGAGAAACCAAATCACTTAAAAATTTTAAAGGTGATGCATAAAACATTAATCTAGTGTAATAACATGGCAAAAAACCTCTCAAACCAACCATAACCCTGAAAAATACTAGTTTTCCAACAGTCGCTTTTTGAATACTTACATCTGTGTAATTCACTTTTTAATCATGTGTGCCTTTTTCTTGCATTCATGACATTTGCTAAGCAAGCTACAACATAAAGGGGAACAGTTGAAAAAAACCAACAAAACTTTAAAGATTCATGGATTTAATCTCAGCTATGAATGTTTGTTTGAATTCATACAGCTAGCAGCTGAGAAGGAAGTATCACTTTTTCCAAGTACCTACTGAGTTGAAATGGTGTGAGAAAATCTTGGTGCACAAGAAACACAGCAGGGAGGAGCTCTGAATCCTGGGCATTTCTAGTTGTGCCTGGAAAGCTTCTCTTTACCAGCTTTTACTAGTCACATTTTTGCTTCTATAAGAAACTTGCTGGTGAAAAACAGCGGTCTCCCTTGTGCAAGTATCTTGACTTTAATTTGGTTTTCATGTCAAGTCTGCTGCTTGCAA